TTTAACCCAATGAAAGAGTCAAAAATATGTATTTTTATATGACTGCAAATAAGCATGAAGATTTTTTTGGTCTGGCTTTTCTTCCAATTATTTTTTCGTAATATTTTATCTGAGAAAAAAGGAATTATCTTCTGTTTTAAGGATGTAAATAAAAAAAACCAAAAGAATTAAAATAAAACAATAGACAAAATCTGAAAATTCAAAAAGGCATATAATGCTACTTTTAAAGGAGTGTCAAGCAACAAATGAAAATTCAGCATCAACAGCTTTACCTCCAAGCTAAAAAAAAAATCAGAGATTATGGAGCAAATCCTAAATGAAAATAGATCCGTAACATTAAAAAAGTATATCCAAAAGTGAAAAAGGTCCAATTTGTATTGATTGTGGTGAAATTTAACATTTGGAGATTGGAAATGAGGAATGATGTGTATGTAGACTATGGGAGCCAAAGGAGCCAAGAATGTTTAATTTGATTAAATTGGCGAAGAGTTATTTGTGTGGAAATTGATCCCATTTACTACTCTGCTGTAAATTAAAGGAAATGAAAGAAGGGGGTTCTTTCAAGTGTTTCTTAAATTATGAAAAAAAGAATCAGTTTCTTGAATTTGTGGGAAAAAAATATTTTCACAAATGATTTTTGTCAGAATATTGTTTTTTTTTTTTTCTTAACATTCTGAAAAAAATGCACTTTATAAAGATATTTAATCTCAAAATGATTTACATTTTAAATAAATTAATTTGTTCACTTAGTTTTATGACAAAATTTTGCTTAATTGTAACGCTGGTAGCGCACCATACATATACACCGGTATCAGAGTAACGTCCCTTGACACTAATTCTTACCGGCGGTATAGTTCAAGATTTAGTGAGTAAACAAAACAATTTCAAGCTGATACATTATTGAAACACATGATTTATTGTTGATGAGTGACATTTATTGTTTACAATTCTAAGTATTTATTTTGTTTTCAATCTTCATCTATAAGTACACCGGTACCGTAGAACCCCGGCATATTTAGTAAGAAATTGACAGTTTTATTCTCTATCAAGATGATTAAGTTACTATCTCTATCTTATTACAGGCCAGAAATTATTTTTACTTACTTTAATATCCTTTCACACTGTGAGAGAATATCACTTTGGTATCCTTTCACACTGAGAGAATATCATTTTTATTCATTAAATCAAATCACAGTATTTCACTCTTGAAAATGTAATTAAACGGTAATCTGTCTTAAAACACGAATCTTGAGCTCGAAGGTACAGCTGTATATTCAAGACATGTTATCAAGAGAAGCGTCAAGTTACATATATATTTGTGATGCAAAAATTGTGCCCTTAACTACCTTAAGTCCAAAATTCTGACCGTGGACAGGAAAAGATTTAAGGAATCACTGTCTAGTTAATAGAGTATGCCAGGGCATCAACGATAGTTGGAAACGTGGGATAATTTGCATAAGGGGCACTTCACTTCATTGTGAAATGAAATTGTAAATTAAGATTTTAAAAATGTAGACTAATAGATTCAAATTACACGAGGCCTCCCATGTCAATTTCAATAGTCCCCGCCCACTGACGTCAAACACAAAGGCAGCCACACGAGATTTACAGCCATATTATGCCTCCTTAGCGTCAGACACAAAGACAGACAAACTAGATTTACATGCATTTTAGGCCTCCTTAGCTCCTGAGCTATCGCTTGGCGAAATTTACATTCCGGTAGAATGATCAAGAAATCAACTCAACTAACTTTCAAAGAATTATCACAGAGAAAACAAATAGAAATGGAAATATAAGATCATCAAAAGTGACTTTGCGGTTTGAACAAATTATTTTATTTCATTCTATTATTATTATTATTATTATTTTCTTTTATTAGTGGGAGTAGGATGGCAACGTCATTTTTGCTAAAAATGAAAATAAGAATTCCAGATCCTGCGCTTGATTTACCCATCCCTTATGCTTTGTTTTAATTCTGACACATTTAACATGTTTCTTATTAGCCATAATTTAACTTTATCTATGTCTGTTTTTGTTGGTATGAGAATTTAAGGACTACCTGCTTAGATACCAAGATAATAGCAGACTTTTCATAAAAGCAATATTAGACACAGTGCATATAATCTATATTTTACAGGATTCCTTCAGAAATATGTGGTTAGCGTCCAATTCAATCCGGGAGTTCAGTTATGAGTTTTGCAGATTTGATGTTACTACCTTACGTGGTTTTATTTACAACAATAAAGAGTAAAATGTAACAAAGCTTACTATTACTTTTCTGTCCATGTTATATTCGTGATGCATTCTAATAGCGATGTATTTTTATATTCATACAAGAACAGAACTGTTAAAACATACATCACCTTTTAATTTAAGGGATAATTTCTCAAATCGCATAGAATATCGTGGAGAGACGTGATATACGTAGACTTTACCTTATTCAAAGCATACAGCTTTGCTTTCAATGATAGTAAATCATAACAAAAAATGAGTCATGAGGACAAAAAGTAAAATTTGACAGATTAAAACTAAAAGATATGGTAATTTTGTCTGGTAATGTTTTCTTACACAAGGCAAGGTTTTGCAAATGTTTTCTTACCCAAGGCAATTGCCTAAAATTTAAATGGATGAATTTTAGGCAATTGCCTTGGGTAAGAAAACATTTGCAAAAAAGAATTTGATTTTAGGATTACTGGTGCAGAAATCTTGAGTGAAGATACTATTAAACTGTTGGGGGTTGGTATTGATTTTATGCTCAAATTTGATGTTCATATTAGTAATATTTGCAAAAATGCTGCACAACAACTAAATGTTTTAAAACGTATTGGTTCAGTTTTAATGATACCAAACACTTGTCTGAACGTTTTCAGCAAGTGAAACATAGGGAATTGTCAGTGGTTGGGTTGGCATAAAAAGGGATTGCAACAAGGTTCTTTTTTTGGACCGCTACTTTTCAAAGTTTTTTTTTTTTATAAACGATATTTTTTTATGTAATTAAGCAGATGATATCGTATTACTTTGGCCTATTGGCATAAGAATTTTGATACTTTGATAAACACTCTGCAATACGAAATTTCAGTGTTATTGAAATGGTTTAAAGAAAAATGTATGCATACATTTTTCTTTAAACCATTTCAATAACACTGAAATTTCGTATCGCAGGACTATAATTAGTTTAAACAAAGGGTCTTTTTGTAAAGAGGGATGACCTGAGCTTGTTTGAGTCTATCAGGAAAAGTATCTTTATGTATGGATTGATTAATGATAGCAGAAATATATTTACTCAGAGCAGGTGCTCCAAATTTCAGAAGATAACAGATATTGTATCTACACCAGTAGATTTCTTAACATTTAATTCATTAATTAACTTATTCACTTCATCTTCATTAGTTTTTCTTGAAATCAAATTTCTGAGTAGATGCAACATTTTCCATGATAGCCTTCAGACTACAATTGCCTCACAGTATTATTAGGGGTATTTTCAGCTTGAGAACTACATTGTAGTGTATTCTTCTCTGACTTTTCCACAATATATGTGAACGCTAATTAACATTGCGGCTATAAAAGCCTGTGATTAGAAATAAACAGATGAACCAAACATCTTGAGAAAAAGTTCAATTGTCTCTTTTATTTTATTTAACTACAGGATTCAAAATCTACAAACGATAACAATCTAACATTTACCATCCTAATAATTTAATTTCTTTATCGTTACACAATGAATAAAAATAAGTAGATTTTTAAATTATAAAAGAATATAACTTATAGTTGTATCCATTACATGTATCCATTACATAAACATCGTTCAAATAGCAAAAAGCAAATGACATTATAATGATTAAAAAATAATTAAGCATCAAATCATGCAATATGGATAAAAAATATGGTCCTTTTTCATGCCAATGAAAAGTTATGCTTCAGTGAATATGATACATATAACTGGTGTGAGCATATAAGATGAGATACCTACTGTAGTATTTATAATGTTATGCATGCCCCCTCATTACCAAAATTGCACATATTCTCTCAATCCTTTTGAAATGTCTTTTTGGCTTCGACAGCGGTAGCTGTGAGGGATATTTTTTCCGATATTTACATCAACGGTGCATTATTACGTTAACAATCTTTCAAACACCACCTTTGTACAATGTACCGCCTTATTGGAGATACGTTTAATTTTTATTAAATTTCGGTTTGTTTTACGAAGAGAAAAAATCATTTGAATCCGAACACTTTATTTCAAAATTAATGAAAATTAAACCCTGGGCCTTGCACGCTATTTAAGACCTTTAAAGACAGCGATTTTGTAAGAAATATTTTTGTAAAACAACCGAAACCAAACTATTCTGATATGGGTTTTCACCAAAAAGTTTGATATACAGTAAACTCATCTATGATCATTCAGTTGAACAAAAACTCCATTGTGCGCGAACATAAAAAATCCTCGTAAATGATATACACAGTTTAGCATTATTATACACCGTACGGAGGACTTTATACATTAAAGTTTGTGTCACGTTTTATGGTAATAATCTACAAATATGGAAATACGTTTTGTGAAAAAAGTTGAACTCAACACTTGACATCAGTGTCAAGAAACATTGCAAATATCGACTCATTGTCTTCAAGCACAGTAAAACACATATTCGACCATTTTGTGGCGGAGGAAAATTATGTTACATTTTGTTGAAATGTATTATAATTGTAATCACCCTGAAGGTTTTCAACCAACTCTACAGAATTTATATCTTGTCCGTCTGTTGACTCTGTATTGTCGAAACGTTGAAAATTTGTCGAATCTTCATGAGGTCTCCTAGGACAGCAACACATTAGCTTATACAAACCAAAGAAGATAAAGTGGCTGACCGGAATGCCAAAAAATATCTCTAGCAGAGAAAATTCCAAAGCACTGTTAAGTTTACTCCAGTCTAAAACAGTATAAATAGGCTCTTCATCTCCCACTAACTGATAAATCACAGTAAATATCATATATATTACAGCGAAAACGGCAGGATGAAACATATGCAAAAAACGTACAGGTTTGTCGGTGATAAAAATATTCAGAACTGTGAACACAGAATTAATCAGATGTTTGTTAATACTCCTTGCACGCATGTCTGAAAAGAAAAGAAAAATCTCTTGCATTTGCACAAAAGTCTTGTATCTTTTTACTCGAGAAATTTATATGAGCCAATGTATACCAGTGCTTAACACTATGTATAGTTCATACTTACTTGCTTCCAAAAATGTGTAGTATGAAAAGGTGATAAGAACTGAAGATGCGTTCATTATGTTGAAAAGCACCCACAATAATTTAAGATAAAGGGATATCGAGTCTGAAGGCGTTACTGAAAGAAATTTTGGAGTTGCTTTACTCTGATTTGTAGATTCTATGACAGCTAAATACAATACTTTTTCATCTGTGTTTACCATTGTCTTTGAACCAATATTTTAAATCCATGGTAGTATTTTATATTTTCTAAGAGGTTAAAAATCTGTTCGCGTCAGTTTATAGTTTTTTCATGATACAAATTACCCGATCCATTTCTCTTCCAATGTATATAAATGGAAAAAGGACAATCTAAAACAAAGTAGATAAATATCCAGGTGTATCCCCAGTTAGTAAGGTAGATAAACCAGCACTTATTGTCTCTCTGGTCAGCTATTTCCCAGTAAATCTCCGCTATGATCCATGCAAAGTGATACAACAAACAAATTGTGCTCCAAAGGAGGAAAATGACAGAAGGACAGCACTGTTAAAAAAAAAACAAAAGTACGCTGCAATTGATAAAAATGTGTCTTTTCCATTTTTTTTTTTTTTAGATGTACTAAAGTTTTTGTACGAGTAAAGTTTTGGTTGCCACTTCAGAATTAAATTACAATAAAAGGAAAGGTTACTGGGAAATAAAATAACTTGGAAACGTGAACAAATCCCGTGAAGCTCAAACGCTTCTCGGTAAATTTGAACACGTACCAAGGTAGTCCATACTCAATAACCGTTGTTTACAAATTTTAACCAAGAAAATAACAATTTTAAAAAATATATGAATTTTGGAGCCAACGCAAAAAGTAAATGCTAAGTGGATCTCATATTTCTTTTAAAGCCAACAGTATGTTAATACAGTCGTTATAATGACTTTGTTAGCAAATACAGTCCCTGAAACGTTCTACTTTCCCATTTTTCCGTTCGCTCACCGTTCGTTCACCGTTCGTTCAGCGTGCGTTCACCGTTCGTTCACCGTGCGTTCACCGTTCGCTCTCCGTTCACAGTTTTGCGTTCACCGTTCACCGTGCGCTCGCGTTCACCGTTCACAAAGCGTTCAGCGTTCGCTCTTCGTTCCGTTCACTTTGCGTTCACCTTGCGTTCAGCGTTCACCTTTCGTTCAGTTTTGATTGTCATTCGGAACTCCGAAGTGAAAGGACTCATCTTTTTGTAGGTAAGGAGTTACAGGTTTTTTTTTTTAATTTAATAACTAACATATCGTGTTTGAAGAATCATTATTTAATGGGGGAAAATATCTACGATATATATATTTATTATTCTAACTTAGCTGTTCGGTTATTTATTAAATTACTCTGGAAAATAAATGTTGTTATAAGCACATTCTGTACCTATGTAGACCGATGCTGAAATATTAAATTTAACTAAGGGCAATGTGCAAATACTTCAAGCTCTGCAACAATTTGTTGTTTTGTTAAATTAAATGTTTGTGATATAATTATCCAAGTAAAATAATTAGGCAGCAAAATTACGAAAATATTTATTTCTAACACCTTTTTTTTCAATTACTATAGAAAATATGATAGAACTAGTTCTGAGAGTTATACATAGTACTGCGGATATCCTGTTAATTTATTATCTTTGGAGCGAATGAAATTGATAGTGTGGTTAAAGGAAATATTTATTTAAAATGTAATGCACTACAGAATTTTCTCTACTATAATATGTTAAGTTTATAGTTATAGAGAAAAAAATTCTTTCTTCACCGTAACTTTATATGTTTGCCATTCGATATGATTAATACCCCCCCCCCCCTTCCCTCAAATCGGTTACTTAGACAGTACTGTATTTCCAGAATATTTTAATTAACATTTTAAAAAAAAAAAGTTAAGGTCTTTTTTAGAACAAAAATTTCAGTCTCAAAACAAACATGCATCTAAAAAAAGTCACAAAACAATAGTAGTTCAAAATGTACACATGTCGGCGGTGGTATTTGAAATTGGCAGAGAGTATGTTTCAAATTCAAGTGTTAATGCCCAATGTATTTTATTCATTTATTATCTAAATGTTGGAATCAAATCTAGAAATGATGAAAATAAATGTTATAACTTGTTGGAAATACTCGCACTTCGCCTTCGATGTGACGAAACTTTCACACCTGCACAGTGTTGAATGATTTTGATTGACAGCACAAGCACGTGGACTTCGTGTGAACTTGAAGCAGGAAAATAAAAACTAGTATGACTGTCAAACAAATGGATATGATTTGTTGATTAAAAAAAAGTTACTTTCACTGTCTGATATATTTAGAAAAAAAAATTCAGAGTTTTTGTTTGATATAGGTACAAACATTTAGTAAAGCCTGAAAGGAGGGGGGGGGGCTAAAACGGTATCTCTCTCTCTCTCTCTCTCATTTGTCTGTTTAATAAACACTATAACAGCATATTACTTAAATATCAAGTTCTGAAAATTGAATTTATAACAAATAATATGAATATGCATCTTTGTATTATCTTGTCCGAGTATAATCACGGCCATCTACAGATACATGTAGAAGTCTGCTCAATAGATCATCATGAAAAATAGAGAAGTGACACAATATATTATTGTATTAAACATTTAAAATACGAGCGTATAAATGCAAAACGTCCACTGACCTTTGTAATTATTATTTTTTTTCATTACTTTACACGAAATCGCATTGACACAGAGATATATGAATGGATGTTACAACCGCTTTAATTCATTCTGTAAGTCAGAAGTTTTCTCTGATTTGTTATCAAATAAGAATAAACATTTTTATTTTCCAACTAAAAAAACATCTTTTATACTTCAGCGTTCGGCAACAATTACAATGTTTTAATGCGATAAAAATCGTGTGATTAAAAACTTAATGTGCATGCATCGTCTTTCTTAGGACAATTTTGGAGAATTTATTTTGTTGACTTATTTATTCATTCATTTATTGGTTTACCTATTTATTATTTATTTATTTATTATTATTATTATTATTATTATTTTGCACCCAACATTGTAATACAATAAAATAGTTTCAATGCAAGGAAAAGATCAGAGGCATTCCGAATATATCGTTCATCTTGCGTTCATCGTTCGTTCACCGTTCACTTTGCGTTCGCGTTTGCGCTCCGTTCGCGTTCTGCGTTCGCTCACCGTTCACCGTTCACACATCGTTCACCAAGTTGCGTTCAGCGTTCACACATCGTTCACTCACCGTTCGCTCTGCGTTCGTTCAGCGTTCGTTCACCGTTCGTTCAGCGTTCGCTCACCGTTCAAGTGGGAAAGTAGAACGTTTCAGGGACTGTACATCCTATCACTGGGTTGCATGTAGACTGAAATACTTATACCAATTGTTAGAACTTGCTTTATTTTGAATTTAACTAGAGATTATATCGTTATCCTGATCTATACTTAGAGTTCATGTTGGGTTTGTACGGTCGACCCGGGATGCTTATTCCTCACAGTCCGTCTTCAGCGGAAGGCCTTCTTGTTATTTGATAACAATTATTTTACCACAGGAACATGAAACTTTCAGGGAAGATAAAACAATTTTATGACATCATGGAAATGGGGCTAGCTCCTTAAAAAATGGTGTCGAGAGGGGCCGAAAGTTTTTCTCAATATCTCAAAAAGTATTAAGAATGTGTAATACATCAAAGAAGCAAACTTCTTTAAAATAACAAGAAGGAATTATTGCGATCGTCAAATGACATCAAACAGGAAATAGTAAAAAAAATAGCTTATTTTCACAGATATTGGGATTGAATTGACATATGCAGGTCACAGAGGACGTCTGACCTTATTTTTTTGTATCAAGTATCATCATTTTTGACCACTTCCGCTTAAACCAGTAGTAGCCAGAAATGACTAATTTCTGCAGATATTAGCATAAAATTAAATGATTTACCTCACCCAAGACTTCCGACTTGAATTCTTGTCAATTGGCATCAGTTATTGGTCAAACCGGAAATAGTCATAAATTCCTTTATTTCACCATAATCAGCCTACATTTCAATCAGAAAGATATACTCAAATACAAAGACGATGAGTTTTCGTCAAAATGCCTCCATTTCAATGAATGGTTAACCTTCTTTTACCCATATATATATATATATATACGAGGGGTTATCAAAAAGTTCGTGGACTAGCGCCATAAGTTTAAAACCGCTTTAGGTACATCAATGAATTTTAAGACATTTAGTAAGCATCATCTTTTCTATCTATAGAATAAACCACAATTCATAAGTTTTATTTTTAAATAAATTAGTAATGTTTTTATAAGCAATGGCATGTCCAGGCGGCGCAACCGCGAACATGACGTTTTTTCAACCTGAGTGTAACTAAGAAAAACTCTTCTGATATGAGCACTTGATATCAAAAAATTCCGTTAATTCAGGCATGTGATGGGACACAATTGTTCCGCAAAATGTGCCATTTTTACCCCATTCTGTACGTTCTATGAAATTTTATCGTATATTTTATAAGCAGTGTCTATACAATTAAGGGCTTAAAAATGACGTTAAAAAGGGGGAGGGGTTTCTTTTTCCATCATTCTATAAAGTTTTGCCCCTGAAAAAACTGGTGTAGACTTAGGGAAAGTTTAAACTGGCTACAGAGAAATAAAATGCATCCAGAGTACTTGTTATTAAATGCCAAAAGAGATTCAGAGAGATGAGAGATGAGCAGTTAATGTCGATTTGTAGTCAAGGTGTGAAAAGTCAATCTCGTCAAAAAGTGACGTTGATCATGTGTGTTTTATATATTGAACTCCAACATGCAAAATATGCTGGCATAATCAAGCGAGGATCTTTCCCTAAATAAAGATTCATTTACAATTTTATATGCATTGAAATCAGCTGTTCATGACATTGTTATGTCATATAAACAAGACATGTTTTAGGTTTTTCTAAACTCCAGGGAATCTCATGAAGATAAGTGTTTTGAGACAGAAGGAGCAGGCATTGAGAAATAATGACGTTGTCGGACGTCATGAAACTAAACGACGACAGCGCCGGGTGATCATATAATGCCTTTTTTATTTTATAATAATTTGGCAAATTGTCAACGTATCAAGCTAAAATTTTCCACACTTCTTAAACTTTTGTTCTT